CAGAGCTAAAAAATTACACATATATCATTGCAAGTGGAAAATCAAATTACACCACATTTTAATTGGTCCATCCCTAACTGAATCAAGGATAATAACCCAACATGCTGTATGTTTTGTCAAATCTATTTAAATCATTGAAAGTGGAAAACCAAATTGACCCCAGCCCTCTCTTAGATTTAAAATGGTCTATCCCTAACTGAATCAAGGATAATAACCCAACATGCTGGATGTTTTGTCAAATCTATTTAAATCATTGAAAGTGGAAAACCAAATTTACTTCAGCCCTCTCTTAGATTTAAAATGGTCCATCCCTAACTGAATCAAGGATAATAACCCAACATGCTGTATGTTTTGTCAAATCTATTTAAATCATTGAAAGTGGAAAACCAAATTTACTCCGGCCCTCTCTTAGATTTAAAATGGTCCATCCCTAACTGAATCAAGGATAATAACCCAACATGCTGTATGTTTTGTCAAATCTATTTAAATCATTGAAAGTGGAAAACCAAATTTACTCCGGCCCTCTCTTAGATTTAAAATGGTCCATCCCTAACTAAATCAAGGATAATAACTCAACATGCTGTATGTTTTGTCACATCTATTAAAATTATTGAAAGTGGAAAACCAAATTTTCCCCAGCCCTCTCTTAGATTTAAAATGGTCCATCCCTAACTGAATCAAGGATAATAACCCAACATGCTGTATGTTTTGTCAAATCTATTTAAATCATTAAAAGTGGGAAACCAAATTGACCCCAGCCCTCTCTTAGATTTAAAATGGTCCATCCCTAACTAAATCAAGGATAATAACCCAACATGCTGTATGTTTTGTCAAATCTATTTAAATCATTGAAAGTGGAAAACCAAATTGACCCCAGCCCTCTCTTAGATTTAAAATGGTCCATCCCTAACTAAATCATTGATAATAACCCAACATACTGTATGTTTTGTCAAACCTATTTAATCCATTAAAAGTGGAAAACAAAATTGACCCCAGCCCTCTCTTAGATTTAAAATGGTCCATCCCTAACTGAATCAAGGATAATAACCCAACATACTGTATGTTTTGTCAAACCTATTTAATCCATTAAAAGTGGAAAACAAAATTGACCCCAGCCCTCTCTTAGATTTAAAATGGTCCATCCCTAACTGAATCAAGGATAATAACCCAACATGCTGTATGTTTTGTCAAATCTACTTAAATCATTGAAAGTGGAAAACCAAATTGACCCCAGCCCTCTCTTAGATTTAAAATGGTCCATCCCTAACTAAATCATTGATAATGACCCAACATACTGTATGTTTTGTCAAACCTATTTAATCCATTAAAAGTGGAAAACAAAATTGACCCCAGCCCTCTCTTAGATTTAAAATGGTCCATCCCTAACTGAATCAAGGATAATAACCCAACATGCTGTATGTTTTGTCAAATCTATTTAAATCATTGAAAGTGGAAAACCAAATTTACCCCAGCCTGCACTTAGATTTTCATTGGTCCATCCCTAACTAAATCAAAGATAATAACCCAACATGATGTATGTTTTGTCACATCCATTTAAATCATTAAAGTCTGTGATTTGAAGCCATTATAAGACAATTACAGTCTTGTTATTTCATAGTAGCTTACAGAGCTATGTGTCACAATTGATTTATTATGACATGTAGCATCCAAATGTTGACATTGATGGTAACACCTTTAAATGCTGTCTACTGGCAAAATGTATTACGCTTATATAATCATTTACTCTATAAATGCCACGTTGATTAGGCCAAGGGAAAACAAATTTGTGGTACATATAATCCCAATCCACTCTTTTTAGCTCCGCTGTCGACTTTGTCGAGCGGAGCTTATCATATGAGTGATTGTCCGGCGTCGCCTGTCGTCCGTCGTCCGTGTCAATGTTTTACTTTTTCGACTTCTTCTTGAAAACTACAAGCCTGAATGCTTTGATACTTGGTGTATATGTACATTGGGTAGACCTCTCTTAGATTTGTTCATTTCATTGTCATATCTACAATTCTCTAATTTTGATGAATATTTTTGTCATTTTTGGTAAAAAGTTATATTTTCGACTTCTTGTTAAAAACCGCAAGTCCAATTGCTTTGATATTACATATATAGGTACGACATGTGTACCTCTCTCAGATTTGTTCATTTTGTAATATCTTTAATTCTCTAATTTTGGTGAATATTTTTGTCATTTTTGGTAAAAAGTGATATTTTCGACTTCTTGTTAAAAACCACAAGTCCAATTGCTTTGATATTACATATATAGGTACTACATGTGGACCACTCTCAAATTTGTTCATTTCATGATGATAACTTTAATTTTCTAATTTTGGTGAATATTTTTGTCATTTTTGGTAAAAAGTGATATTTTCAACTTCTTGTTAAAAACCACAATAATTTATGTTGAAAAATGATATTTTTGAATTCTTGTTGAAAATAGCAAGTCCCATTGCATTGATACTATACATATTGTTCATTTTCTAATGATGTCTTCAGTTTTTTAATTGAAATGTGCATTGCTAACAGCGGAGCTATCTCAACTGAGAGGCTGCTTGTTTATACAACTCGACTATAAACTTTTTTTTTTTCCATATTTGAGAAAACATCACAAAATTGTGCCAGGCTTTGAAAGAGATTTCAAAGAAATTAAAAACTTTGCAAAACTGGTTATAACGAAAAAGAAAATATATGATAATACAAGATCCTTACTTACCTACTATTTTTTGTAAAATGTTCTTAGAAACCACAACTTTTCTTTTATTTGGCCTTAGTCTCAGGTTGATCACAAATGCTTTTGGACTGTCTGTTTCCCAGTTATCAGTAAGTTCATTCGCTGGCAAATCATTAAAGAGTTCATCACAATTTATTTCTCAGTTTCTTTACCCAGTTAAAAATATTATTTTGGAGAAAAAAAACTGTCTAAAAAAATGCAATTATGGACAGTTTTGGAACTATTTCCATAATAATCTATGTTGAAGCATTATTTCATAAAAAATGAATAGTATTCACAAGATATGCTCAATAATTTGTGACAAACATAACCATCATAACAATGCATATGATCTTCTACCCATGTGGAACCAAGTAAAGTGGAACCATTTTAAATGGCACAAAAATCACTATATTTATTAATTTTTGGCACACGTTTCATGCAAAAAGTACCGTAAAATCTGTATTAGAAGCCGCATTCCTAATAGAAGTCGCATCCATTTTATTTGAATAATTGAGAACCAAAAATTCATCATTTCTCATATGTGTAGATGCTCTAATAGAAGCCGCATCCCCTCTGTTGCATTGTACCATTTTAATAGAAGCCGCAGCTTCTAATACAGATTTTACAGTAGTTGGTAACCATATATTCATACAGACAAAAACTAGCAATTCATACAGATACTAAAATGTAGCAATCACATGACAAAAACTAGCAATTCATACAGATACTAAAATGTAACAATCACATGACAAAAACTAGCAATTCATACAGATACTAAAATGTAGCAATCACATGACAAAAACTAGCAATTCATACAGATACTAAAATGTAACAATCACATGACAAAAACTAGCAATTCATACAGATACTAAAATGTAGCACTCACATGACAAAAACTAGCAATTCATACAGATACTAAAATGTAACAATCACATGACAAAAACTAGCAATTCATACAGATACTAAAATGTAACAATCACATGACAAAAACTAGCAATTCATACAGATACTAAAATGTAACAATCACATGACAAAAACTAGCAATTCATACAGATACTAAAATGTAACAATCACATGACAAAAACTAGCAATTCATACAGATACTAAAATGTAGCAATCACATGACAAAAACTAGAAATTCATACAGATACTAAAATGTAGCAATCACATGACAAAAACTAGCAATTCATACAGATACTAAAATGTAGCATGTATGGGTATGCAAAGTGTAGCAAAATACCAGGGATTTAGAGCATAAAGGTAATAATAAGTGTGTATTTCAGCCATACTTTACTCAGTGTGTAAATCTATATCCATTGAACATATTACTCTTCTTGCTGTACATTGTGATTAATTTCCTGTATACCTCCGGTTGTAGACAAACTGGAAATTAAAATTGCAGTACTTATCATCATCACTGTAGTGAGTGGTTTGTTCTACTGTATACATGGACCACAATATGTATGACTGGGAGGATTGTTTTCATTTTAAACAAATATGGCTTTATAACTTAGTCTTAGACTTACCAGGTATATTATGTTCCCACAGCCAGGAATTTATAAGTGTCTGTCAAAAAATAAGCTAAAAGACTGAATTTGGGCATTATTTTTTGAAAAATTTACAAAAAAATACAAAAAAAAACAGAAAAAAAAGTTGTCTGTCAAGTTATACCAGGCTGTCAGGTAGCTGGCTGGTACACTGTGTTTACATCACTTTCATACATCTTTACACAAAATATTCACCCCAAAATGGTAGCAGTATTCAATTACATTTGTTGTACAGTTATAAAATAACCTACATTTGAACTTTCGTAAGCTTGTGTCGTGGCACTGTCTAGCAGTTTGAAGTCATCCTATTCAATGTACATGTAATTCAGATGATGAGAATTCATTTGTTCAAAGGTTTTATGTGTAATACTTTTTTCAGAGGAATCTATTAGTGTTCAGTATATATTATGTTTACTTGTGTTGGTGAGTGAGTGTGCATTGTGTTTGATTTGGTGGTTAAATGTTTAGGAGCTATGCGTTTGGTTGGTTTTCGGGATTCATGTGTTCAGTGTGCTCATTTCTGTTAGGTTGGTTGGTAGTGGTGTTTATTGCGTTTGATTTCAGTAATCATGTGTTTAGTACATTGGTTAGTGATCATGTTTTAAGTGAGTTCGATTTTGTGTTCAGCATGTTGCTTAGTTTATATACTTTTAGGCATTACCTTATATTTCTTGTCTGTATTGTTATTTTCAACAGTATGGCAATAACAATTGTTGATATTTTTCTTACAGTGTAGATGATGCTCTACAGATTTACACCGAGGCAACAAAGTATAATTTAACAACTGCTGGTAATATATGGATTGTCACTCAGCAAGCCTTGTCAGGAAAAGCACTAAAAACTGCACCAGAAGGTAAAAAAACAACATTCACCTAACTCTGCAATTTGAATTGCCTAACTATGTAAGTGAGTCATGCAGAGTTAATCTGATATTGATGACCCAGATGTGTGTATACCTTAATTAATTTGTGGGTTACTCTTTCAACACCAAGGTCAAGTTTTGTTAAAATAAACCTGCATAATTGTTTTTTATATATTTAAATTTTTTTTTATCCACAACTGATGAGGAATTATGTCCATGTGATTTGTTAAGTTATTGATGCAGCATGGATGTTTGAACTCATTTAATTCAACAGAAACAACATCGAGTAAAACTAACAGCAATGACTATCGCCAACAAGTGCCTAGGTCATAGGTCATCATAGGTGGTGGCTCGAAATTTTACATGAGGGCGCAAGATCTGCTCACCAACCTTGCGCCAAAGGCGTGATCTTACTAGGGGGTGTGGGGGCATGCTCCCCCTTAAAAATCTTGAAATCAAGACTTTCTGAAATGCTATTTCCTGCATTTTGAGGGGCAAATTTTGCTGAGGTTTCAGCTTGATTTTTGAGGAGCAACGCCCCCACCCCAACTTTTTTTTTCAAGTGGACGACTGTGCCCTCTGCAGATTAAGATACACATGTGATATCATGACAAAATTTACAATAAAATACATAAAAATATGCAAGATTTGTTTATTGTAGGTCTTCTGGGTCTGCGTCTCAGCAATGACACCAATGAACTTGCACATGTCAAAGATGCTATTTATATCATCGCTAGGGGACTGAAAAATTTCTTTGATGAGCCTGGTACAACAGAACCACCAAAAACCTGCCAGAATTCAGGCCATTTCTGGGCAAGTGGAGTTACTTTCCTCAGGTATTTCATTATATTTATGCAAACTTTTTCACAAAATTTTATTATTTTTTATTTCATTGCATGGTCACATCATTTTGTTTAACCTTTTCACTACCAGTTCCTTCTTTTCATCACAAATCCATAAAATAGTCATGTTGATAGTCTGCACTTTCCTTCAGAAGATTGAGACAAAAATAGCCAAATTTTCTGAGTAAAACGGAAAATTTACTCATTGACAAATTTTGTCGATTGGCTCCAAAATTAGGATTCACTTCCAGAAATATTTATGAATATAAGAAACAAGTGCAGCAAAATTTAGGCAAGAAAGTCTGGTGGTGAAAAGGTTAACTTTTACCATCCAGCACACTGGTATTGATGCTATGGCAATGATTCCCATTATTTTATTATTGGGTTTCAAGGACTTTTCATCCAGACACTGCACGCACACATGTTCCTTAAACGTTGAACAAGTGGCGGATGACAATCTAATGACATGTATATCATTCTGTTTTACATTTCACAAAATTTGTGAAAATTCATGGCCTGATAATTGTTCACCAATTATTATACTCAAAATATTCCTCTACATAACACCAAATTTAACACTGAATTGAACACCAAATTGAACCCAAAATTCAACACCAAATTTAACACCAAATAGAACCCCAAATTTAACATCAAATTAAACACTGAATTGAACACCAAATTCAATACCAAATTTAACACCAAATTTAACCCCATATAAAACCCAAAATTCAAATTGCACTAAGCAAATTACAATAGAATAAAAATCTGAGTACAATGCCCAAGATAAATTTGATGAGTTATGAACTAAAAATAAAAACAAAAAGTACCATATATTTTGCCTCTAGAGGGATAGAATTGATCATTCATGATGATATTCCTGGGTCAGAAAAAGCATTGTAAATGTTTTCTCTAGAGGGAGCACTTCAAATTATTTTAAGATAGTTTGTTATATTTTAAAAACAACAGTAGATGGTGTTTTTACTTCGAGAGGGAGCAATATGGTTCATCTTTTTTTTTTTAGGAAACTGAAATCTTGTGAATTGCCTGATGGGGACACTGGTTATGTATCATTTGATAGCCATGGTGATAGGGAGTATGTGGACTATGATATTGTCAACACACAAAGACCGAGTGAAGGAGAAGAACTGGTCGCAGAAGTGGTTGGAAAATGGGAAAACAAACAGGTTAAAATTGGGAGTGTTGTCTGGCCAGGTGGACAAGTCGGTAAACCACCAGAAGGGGTATCATTGTCTTCAAGGTTACAGGTAAGTGATTTTTTAAGTGACTATAAAATTACAATAAAGGTTTTCATCAATGAATAAACCTGTATTCCAGTACCCCTTAGGTATACAGTGATTACCAGCTTCTCCACAGTACATCCTAGGTATAAATGATTGAATACATCTGCATTCCAGTACCACTTAGGTATACTGTAATTGCTATCTTATCTTCAGTACTCCCTAGGTATACATCAATGAATACACTTGTATTCCAGGACCTTCTAGATGTACTGCAAATGCATCTTACCTACAGTACTCCCTAAGTATGCATCATGGAATAAACTTGTATTCCAGGATCTTCTAGATGCACTGCAAAGGCATATTACCTACAGTACTCCCTAAGTATGCATCAATGAATACACTTGTATTGCAGGACCTTCTAGGTGCACTGCAAATGCATCTTACCTACAGTACTCCGTAAGTATGCATCATGGAATAAACTTGTATTCCAGGACCTTCTAGATGCACTGCAAAGGCATATTACCTACAGTACTCCCTAAGTATGCATCAATGAATACACTTGTATTCCAGGACCTTCTAGGTGCACTGCAAATGCATCTTACCTACAGTACTCCCTAGGTATGCATCAATGAATAAACTTGTATTCCAGGATCTTCTAGGTGCACTGCAAATGCATCTTACCTACAGTACTCCCTAAGTATGCATCAATGAATACACTTGTATTCCAGGATCTTCTAGGTGCACTGCAATACATCTTACCTACAGTACTCCCTAAGTATGCATCAATGAATAAACTTGTATTCCAGGATCTTCTAGGTGCACTGCAATGCATCTTACCTACAGTACTCCCTAAGTATGCATCAATGAATACACCTGTATTCCAGTATCCCTTGGTATACTGAAATTACTATCTAATCTATAGTATACGAAAGCAGTACAATAATTCCTAATATATGAATTATTTGTTTTATTTTAGATTACAACAATCGATACAAAACCTTTTGTTATGGTAGGGCCACCTAATAGTGAAGGATCTTGTAGCCATGATATCAAAGCAGTTGAGTGTGCCCAGTACAACAAAAGTGGAGATGGTGGTGATTGTAAGTAATAGACCATTTTCCGTTCATTGTAAGATCTAACATTATGCCTGTAAACAAATGTAAAGTAGGCCAAGCAAAGGTTATAGCATTGTAGGTGCATCAAAAAGTCATGTGGAATTTAACACATGCGAAAATATTTTTCTGGTGTTCCCATGTTTAAAGCTTTAATTAGGTAATTTTCATGTTATTCGAAGGTATCAAAGGAGTCATCGGCGGTAATCAGTGCAAGTTGCGCCCAGGTTAAACCTCATACTTGTGATTTTCATTTGAAGAGCGCATTGAATTGTGGAAAAATCAATGTTTATCAACACAAATGTGGCACATGCGCAGCGCGACAACTACCACACTTTAATAATGTTCTATACACATTTGATGGTGGCCAATTTTGATTAAGCAAAGATCTCTCAATGCCATATTCCTCTGTGAAAGAAATTTTAAGTTCAAAATCATATCATCATGTGTGGCAGACGTTTGAACCTGTCTTTCACACATGATGTGAGATCTCTAAGTGAACGTAAAATCACCACATTGTGGTAATTTGGGATGTACACACTTGATCAATTAGGGTGAACTTAACAAGCCAGGTTTTCAAGGTTGACAGTAGATATTCGCATAGAAGAAAAATCACTTATGACAGATCCCCTTATCTTACCTGTATTTTGTAAATCCCTTTTTAAGCAAAACAAATATCATAGAATAACATTATCTGAGAGTTCATCTTTGTTACTCTGGTTTGAAATATTGTGTTTCCATTGTTAATGCAAAACTGATCACAATGTAAACATACTGCAAGTACAATGTAACAATATGGCCATGTATCAAGCTCTTATATGCATTGATATATATATAGTTGATATAGTAGTATAGTTGATTAGAATAATTATTAGGACCAGGAATGAGTTTATATACTTTATTCACATATGTATATGGAAATACAATATTTAAAACCATACAGATAATCAGTGTTTGAAGCTATATTTGGTCAGATTTTGAGTCAGCAGATTTTGACCGAGTCAACAGAATCCTGTATACTGTAAAACATGTCTTTTTAGCTAGCATGTTATTTTAGCTAATTTAGCTAATCTGTAATTTCGCTAATTCAAGATGTCGCTGATTTAGAATAAAGTATATTCTCACAATGAGATTGTTGGCACTTCAGTTAAATTAAGATTCAGTTACTTCGTGCATGGAGTCAAATTCACTAAAATTGCATGTAGCTATTTAAACATGTTTTACAATAGTTTATATATATATTTTATTAATTTGACAGGGTCCACCATGTGTTGTACTGGTTTCTGTATTGACCTATTAGTGAAGCTAGCTGATCACCTTAACTTTAGTTATGATCTCCATCTCGTATCTGATGGCAAATATGGTACACTGGAAGTTCCCAAACAACTAGGGGTAAGAATGAAATTACCAAATGCATTTAAAAGTATTGTGATTATACTTTTTTATCGCATGGATTTTATTATTGCTATTTCTGTTTTGAGCATAATGAACTTCATATGGAAGTATCCTGGATGATAGAGTAGACACAAAATATATTACAAAACACACATACACATCCGCAATGACATGACAGTGCTATGCTGATCTTGGCGTTACAGTATAAATCAATGAAAAATTGTTTACTTCAAATGCTTGCAGAAAAAAATGAAAGTGTGAAAGTGTTTTCTTATTTTCATTAACAAAATGCGAAAAAGCAATGAAAACTATGCACTTAAGAAACAAACAATGCTTTGTGCAGTCTATTTTCATATTATCTGATCTTCTTGCAAAAGTAAGTTAATTCGCTTAGTGGTTATTAATCTTCTGCATTTTGGTTATGGTAATGAACACAACCGACATGAGTACAAACTCTCCATAATGATGTTGATAGTAAAAAAAACCATTCATTATGAAAATAAACACCTTCATGACAATGTACAACACTATGTGGTGTTAGATCATGCATCCTGACAATGTACAACACTAGGTGGCGCTGACCATGCATCAAGACAATGTACAACACTAGATGGTGCTTGACCATTCATTGTGACAATGTACAACACTCGGTGGCGCTGACCATGCATCAGGACAATGTACAACACTAGATGGCGCTAGACCATTCATTGTGACAATGTACAACACTAGATGGTGCTAGACCATTCATTGTGACAATGTACAACACTCGGTGGCGCTGACCATGCATCAGGACAATGTACAACACTAGATGGCGCTAGACCATTCATTGTGACAATGTACAACACTAGATGGCGCTAGACCATTCATTGTGACAATGTACAACACTAGATGGCGCTAGACCATTCATTGTGACAATGTACAACACTAGGTGGCGCTAGATCATGCATCATGACAATTCATATCACTAGATGGCGCTTGACCATGCATCATGACAATGTTCAACACTAGGTGGCGCTAGAACATTCATTGTGACTGTACAACACTAGGTGGCGCTAGACCATGCATCATGACTGTACAATACGAGGTGGCACTCGACCATTCATCATGACAATGTACAACACTAGGTGGCGCTAGACCATGCATCATGACTGTACAATACGAGGTGGCACTCGACCATTCATCATGACAATGTTCAACACTAGGTGGCGCTAGACCATTCATTGTGACAATGTACAACACTAGATGGCGCTATACTATGCATCCTGACAATGTACAAAACGAGGTAGTTCTGGATCATACACCAGGACAATGTACAACACTAGATGGCGCTAGACCATGCATCATTACAATCTACAACACTAGGTGGCGCTAGACCATGCATAAGGACAATCTACAACACTAGGTGGCGCTAGAAGGTGCATCATGACATTGTACAACACTTGGTGGTGCTAGACCATGCATCATGACAATCTACTTCACTAGGTAGCGCTAGACCAATCATCGGGTGTTTTAACACTGTAAACATCTATAACACAATTATTCTTAATAGATGAATGGTAGCTATAAGAAACACTGGAATGGTATGGTCGGAGAACTGGTAGATAACAAAGCTGATATGATCGTTGCTCCACTGACCATCAACAATGAACGTGCTCAATATATTGACTTCTCTGTACCTTTCAAATATCAAGGACTAACAATATTAGTGAAAAAAGTAGGTATTTACTCTTTATATAGCTCATGGGGATGACCTCTATTTGCAAGGCCAAAATTTAGATAATGGCCTTAGCACAAGGAATAATATAGAGAATATCAAAGCACTCCAAGACAAGCTCATTGGGCATCAAGGCCTTTAATGCTTCTGTAAACTTCAATCCCTTGCTCATTTTAATTAACTACTACAGTCTCTCATCTTTATTAATATATTCTTAATAATATATTTGTTATGCACAATACAATGTTACTATAGAAAAGATTTGAATTGGTTGCCATTTTGGCAGACAAGATGAAACACTCACTCATGCGACTCATAGAAAAGACACAATTTTGCCAGACCAAACACTTTGGGCAAATGAGCAAATCATCACAGGTCATATTCTACATTTTAATATAATCTCAGACTGATCAACTGTTTATCAATTGTAATAGGTTTTAAACTATATGACACAACTACAACGTTATGGTCACAACATTTTAATCCCCGTTCAGGTGTGGCCTGAAAGGCAACTATTATTTCTTATTTCCTGTTTCCTTCCGTTCAACTCCTTTATGTCTCCAACATTTTCTCAGAAATTCTGCAGCAGATTTCAATGAAACTTGGTAGATTGATGAACAAGTCTGTGTTGAATATGCACATAATTTTTTTCTTCAGATCTGAAAATCCTATGTCTTTTCTTTTTCAAGATTTTTATCCAAAATTACCTCTCCCTACTGCACTGACAGAGCAACTGAGCATGCTCAGAATAAATAATTAGCTTAGATTGTAATGCTAGGGTTTTTAGTGATGACATGACCTGGTCATGACCTTGATCTGAATCAGTGACAGATTGGTTGTACCATTACCAATCTCAGTAGAAAATGTAGAGTGGTGTCAGGGCTATATTTTGATGGTAGTTATAGTGGTGATACTGGAACAAACCCAGGTCCTGGTAATATACAAAGACATGAATTAACACAGAAGTCAAGTTGTTATTAAAGGTACATCAAGGTTTATGATTTATGAATGCAGTTTCTTGAGCATGTATGAGACATAGTTTGGTTGCATTTGTGTACTTCAGTTATCAGATTAAGGGAAATCACTTTATCATGATGAGTTGTACCCACATAGAGTACATATAAATTTAATTGTTTGCAGATGTTCCATGTATTATTTTAACATGAGCATTTTGTAATTAAATAACAGGGACTGTGACATTCATGTCCTGTTAAACCAAGTTTTAACCTTTCTGAATATACATGTACGTTACCTGTAATTTTAAATATTTTAATAATAATATTTTTAATCATTTCTGTACAATGTGCTGAGGCATGCGTTGTCCAAAAAATAATAAAAATGATATTATTGTTAAATATAATATTTCCAAAGCAAATCTTAAATTCCATTGTAATCTTATTATTTGTTTAGAATTTATTTATTTAAATAAAATTGATTCTGATGAAATATCATTCTTAGTTTACTGTAGTAAAATTTATTTAATAAAGTTTTCAGCAACTTATCCTTGTTTATGATGAAAGAGCTATTAACAAATTAGTAAAACAGTGGTAAATAAGCTTGCTTTTTGTCACATTCAAAATGTCCTCAACTCGCTCCACACAAAATATCACTTTTAAATTAAAGCTTTTAATCTTACATAGTTGATTTTTTTTCTCTGAACATAATATTAAGTTCACTCATTTTCATTATTGCAGAAAGACCATGGAAGTAGTTTTGCATCATTTTTCCAACCCTTTGAGAGTGCACTTTGGTTGCTGATTGGTCTGGCTGTGCACATAGTGGCATTGATCCTGTATGTTCTAGATCGATTTAGCCCATTTGGTAGATTCAAATCGGGTCAGACTGGAGATGAACAGGATGCTCTGACATTGTCATCAGCTATGTGGTTCTCATGGGGAGTCTTATTGAATAGCGGCATGGGAGAAGGTAGGAAAGTTCCATGCATGTAGTATGTTCCTTCCACAGCTTTCTGTATTGTCATTGATTTAATGGCATTTTTTCACCACCAAATTAAGCTATTGCCACCAATCTAATAACAAGCATACCACTAACAAAATATTTATGGTCATTTATTGATTGCAGGAACACCTCGTAGCTTAAGTGCTAGAGTACTGGGAATGGTATGGGCTGGATTTGCTATGATAATGGTAGCATCGTATACTGCTAACTTGGCAGCTTTCCTGGT